CCGTTATAAGAACAATCTCGTTATACGGACATTTTTTGTCTGTCCCACGAGTGTCCTTATAACGGGAGTGACCTGTACTTATTTAATCTTTAAAAAATAGAATTTAAATAAAAATAGTATCTTGATAGTATCATCGGAAATATAAATTTCCTTACTATTACCAATTCTATATATCATTATCATTGTTAAATAATAAATAAAGGACATATAAATTTCAAAATCTATACAGTAAGAATAAATAATGATTCTAATAGTTCTAATATATTGCAATTAAATTAAAATCATAGCAACCATTGTAAATAATTTATTTGGAGTTTTCTTATGCTTACATTTCTATATCGAGCTACTTTAGTGCTCCATGTTGCAACCAAAAAAAAAAAAAGAAAACAAAGTGGTGTAAAGAGAGTTACGACTAGGTGTTGAAATCATTTTTATATGATGTAAAATTGGTTACAACCATCATCAAAGTTGCAGCCAGTATCCTAAATTACCTTCAAATAAATAATAAAGTCTAGATGAAAGTATATTCACTTAATAATAAGATTCGTTTGTATATGACGTCAACTTCCTTTTTGGATATTTGTTTGCAATATCTTCATACAAATATAATGGCCTGACATTTATTGTTACTGACTGTTAAAAATTAAAAAAAGAGATTTCGGGGTGATGATTTTCCTAGGTATAAGAAAAAAACTAGTATATATTAGTATGTAAAGTTTCGTGGATCCCAGTGGATTCTTAAAATATATACTCTGAAGAATTATTATTAAAAAAAATTTTTTTTTCACAAAGCACGACACAACATGCACGTTAAATCATTTGTAACATATATGAATTGATCAATAAAGGGTCCAATTTTTCTAGAATTGATTTCCAAATTTGGTAATATCGAGAATCCGAATATTGCCTCCAAGTTCATTGATACTAATACTCTTCAATTACTTGAAAGTTGAAAAACTTGTTTGCACACCTTTCTGAACTTTGTTTACAATTTCGGATTGACAAAGTTGGTCATGCTTTCCTTTGACAATGGCAGTGCATAATTAATAACTGAGAAGCTAGTTTCACCTTATTCCTTCTTTGGTAATTTCAAATAATAAATAAATATGTTATTTTCATTCAAACATCCACTTGCATTGGATGTTGATTGTTAAATGACTCTGGAATATTTAAATAACTTTAGCAGCATAGTCTCTTTGCGAAACAGATATATCACTATCTTTTTTCATAATAGTATTTTCCAAATTTCTAACTGAACCTTTGTAGGCTTCGTGATTTTTGATAGCAACACCTTTTTCTTCTGGTTCCACCTTTTCATTCATATATATTATAATTTTACTTTGCTACATTCCGCAGCCAGGAAAAATTAAATGAACTAGAAGAAAATCATTTTTGAAAATAATTATTCTGCTCCCTTGTTTAACAACCTGATAAAAGCGGCTCAATTAGAGGGGAAAATACTAAGTGATAGCCAGGATAAAACCTTTAATTTATAAAATAGGTTAAATCCTTAGAACTGTTGTACGTGAAATGAAATTATGTGAATTCGCAATTTACATATGTGAAATTCAAATTAGCCAATCAGAATTTCACCCAACTCCATAATATTTCAATTAAGAATCGAATCGAATTTGAGAGTGCTTCGATTCGATTCGATTCGAATTCAAAAAAACAGGATTCCTAAAATTTTTTTAACGTCATATTAAATTTATATTTTTACTTTGATACTCAATTAGTGTGCCTCCATTTAATGTATTGAGGTCTAAGAATGGTTTAATGATAATAAAATTCTTCTTGATATGATATTTATTCGAATTTTTAATAATAACGG